GGAGCCTTTGGCTAACCAAACCTAACCCGCAAGACACTGGGGCGGTGTGTGAAAACCGCAATCCATTGGGAGCTGTAGTCCAGTTCATCGAATCATACGCCCTTGGCACGGGGTCAAACGTCCAAGGTACCCAATACACCTCGATGCTCAATCGAGCCGGTGACCATTACCACAGCCGAAAAAGTGNCGGTGACCACTGCCACAACCGAAAAGGCGTGGGTGTGGTTCGTACGTCTCATGGTTGGTTTGGAATCAGGGTTTTTGGCCAACTCCCCTAGGTGAACTATCAGTGGTCCACCAACCGGGCTATTCGGCCTCTCACTTTGGTTGAAAACACCGTTACGAGAAGGCAGTGAGTAGGGTTTCCTCAGCAGAGGCTATTTGAGACGCTCTGTCGTATGGAAGCATTTCGCGAGGTGCAAGGGAAGGGTGATCAGCAGAAATTCTGAGACACCCCCGACCGTACTGAGGCTTTTGAAGGCTGTTGGGAACAATAAGTGAGCTATACGGTCTGTCTGTTGAAATCGCATAAATTACTAACAAATCCACAAAACACATTCAACATTTTATGGTAAGACGCAAAAAAATAACCACTTTTTGTTCTGCTTGTTCTCTAATCGTTTTTGTAACGTTCCTCTTCGTACCCGATTTCTCCCTTTTCCACTATGATTGCTGTCACATGGGCATCGTGTTTGTTTGTAAGCATGTATATATAAATATAACGTGAAAACAGGTCCCATTCCTCAACTGAGAGATAACTTGCTACATGTTGATCCGTTCCTTCGTCATCCAAGCCTTAGCGTTAAAGGATTCGTTTTCGAGGTTATAAAAACGCGTTATCGTTCCTATCTATGCCGTACAATATACTTGAAGGTATTTAGTTATTTTATTTATATCCATCCTGTACACAATTCGTGTGTATTTCTTCAAACCATTGTTTTTCTTATCTCTCAAGCATCACGTAGTGCGCTGCAAACGTTTAAAATAATATTTAACTTCCTATTGAAAGGTTGAATACGTGGAAGACGCTCAGAATTTAATTGGCTTGAAGTTGATTCCTCGAATTGATTATGATCGTCGGCGTGGGCGTACTGTTGCTGAGGAGGAAGACAACAAATTCAAACGTTTCAAACGTCCTGCTCAGGCTTTGTTCATGTCCAGCAAAGTTCCTGATCGAGTCCAGCGAGATGGTTCGTATATGATATTCGAGGGCAATCGTTACGACCATTTGGGTTTCCTTCATAAAGCATTCCGCATGAATACTGTGGTGAGTTTATTTATCGTGTGCACTCCTTATTGCGCAACGGTTGGTTTATTAAGCCCACGATCATATCATCTTGATATTGTACCAAAGCCTGTTACATCGGACAGGTGTTATGTGATAAACTACACGATCACAGAAAGTGTGGTGTGTCAATGATGGGTACGTCAAGTACCAAAAAATAATACAGAAAACTGAAGACGAAGTCTGTTGTTATCTTTCCTAATATCGCTGACATTTTCGTATATGCAACACTCTAATCTACTGGTTAGACAGTTTGTAATACGCATTATTTATTCGGCTGGATTATGGGTTTTCCTAAGCAACTCACTTTTCAAAGCTGACGTTTTCGGATAGAGGACCATCGTTGGGAACCAGTAACGGTGCTGAGTTTGGCTCTTTTAACACAATGAACTGTTTGTGAAACAGACGCAATCATATGCTTGACTCAGAAACTATAACTTTTTCGTGTTCTTTTATTAGTCTACTTCCGTTTTCATTGAGGATGCAGTTGTACAAACAATTCTTAGGAAGCAGGATATAATTCATCAAAAAGCGGCCATGGAATACAAAGAAATGGAGATCAGGTGGTAGCGTTGTCTTCGAACATCATCTCTGGGTTGACGCTTAACATTTTTCGATCATTGCCTCTGTACCATTGGAAAGGGATTCCTATTGTTCTTTCACATGAAATTGTTCATAAGCTCATGCGGTTTTCGTGGACCGCAGCGCTCCTACTGGTTCACTTGCGACTGATTACACAAATGACGAAGATATTCTCACACACAAGCGATTCTACTTGTAGATGCGAAAACAGTGATCAAATCAAATTTAACGGTAAAATTTCATGCTTTATTCAATACACATTTACACTGTTTTAACTAAATGTCAATAAAGTGGAATGGCTTGGAGAAGTAAATTTGTAGAAAGTTGAGCACATGTCCCATAATGTGGTAAGCTACTGTGAAAAGTGAAATATGTCAGAAGTTTTGCTGGTCCGATGTTTAAAAATATGAAGATAGTAAAAATGTTAGAAAAGGGACCATGTTCCAAAGCTTAACACCCCTGGGAAACGTAGGATAAACCAAAGTTGGAGTTGGGGACATTTACTTTACCATTATGGTTCGCTTTCTATGTGCGGTGTGTGTGGTGTGTGAACTGAAAGGGAATGGGAATTGTGCCCGCTAACAGAAATCATGGTTGAAAGGGTCGGGCCTTTTCCAGCGGACATCAGGTATCTTAGACTAATGGGAGTGAGAAGATCACTAAGACATGTAATCCACACCAAACGCGTAAAACTTGATGGTTACACAAAACATTGCATGGGGTCTATCCCAAAGAACTACACACAATACAACGGAAAGTAACACAGTTTTCTCTGTAAGCGACTGCGCCTATAGTAGATGATTGAGGCTCAAGCGCTGAATGACAAGTGCGTCTCAGATCCTCTGACCGGTCACAATCACAAGAGACGTCTGGTCTGACGTGACACTGACACTAGCAGAGCGAAGCCATTAGAACGCGGTGAAATTCTCGGTCCGTAATCATGTTAAGCTTCTCGTTAGCTTAACAGGAAGCAAGGATACTCGATAAGCCTATGTTTTCGGATCAGCACAGTAACCAACACGTGAGGTGGAAAGCAAAGGACCCACCGTTTATGCTTCTGAGTCCAGATTGTATGCCAAACAAATCACAGTACAATGAACTTTAAAAGAAAAGAAAAAAGTTCATGAGTTGTTTGTGGGCGTGGTACTGCCAGGTTGCCTAAACTAAGGCAGGTGAATCGTTTATACATTCTTTAAATGCGAAAGTGAATAAAACCAACCGACCAGCGAAGAACCATGAGGGTAATGAAGTGCAATCGAAATTTGCATCACATTAAAGTAACAAAGTAACTAGAAAAACAAGACAGTTTAGGAAAAATTAAGTCCGCAAAAATTACTTGACAAAAAGTTAAAGGTCGGTGTTTTGGAAAACGACAACGTTCTCAGGTTGGGCTGACTAATTTTATACAGAAATGTTGATGCTTAGGGTAATACACCGGGCGACTAGAACGTGTCATGTGGGTCTTTATTCTAGCCTATATCGTCCTTACCTTTGAACGCCGAATCAACAGACTGGTTTTAACCTGCATGTTCCCTTCGTTCTCCCATGTGCAATATATCGTTGGATTATGGGGATTCTTCCTTTAACTGTATTCGATGATGAAAGACATCATGCTGCGGGTGGATGTTATCTACAAGCATTTTGCGAGCAAACTTTGTGCAAGATAAATTATCATACGACTTTTATGGGGACAGTTATCATCATCATCATCGTACAGCAAAATACAGTGAGGCGAACATCACTGATCGATGCCAAACTCGCAATGCATACAAGGTTAGTGGTAAAATTTAAGGTGGACAGGAATTAGACCTATTTTGAGAGAGGTGGAGGTTTGGGGATAGTGTGAAACGGTTATTATTTATTTATATTTCACACGTCTGAGGCCAGACTGTACGCCAAACAAACCATGGTACAATAATCTTTATGAGAATAAAAAAGATTCCATGATTTGCATGTGGATGAAATATTGCCAGGTTGCCCAGGCCAAGGCAGGTGAATTTTCTTGAAGAATTCACGACCGGAGCCTTCGGCTAGCCAAAGCTCGATCCGCAAGGTAGCGGTGCGGTGTAAAAACCTCTAGCCATCGGGGGCTTGTGTCCAGTTTGTCGAATCGTACGCCCTTTGGACGAGGTCAAACGTCCACGTTGCCTAATGCATCTCAATGTCCACCTAAGCCGGTGACCACTACTACACCCAAAAAGGTGTATATGTGTATGGTTCGTAATCCTCTTTTTGGTTGTTTTGGAATCAGGATTTTTAGCCCACTCCCATAGGTTAACTGCCAGTGGTTCACCTTCCCGGATGCTGGCTTTTCGTCCTCTCCCTTTGATGGGAAAACACCTTTGCCAAGAGAAGACAATGGGCAGGGTTTATACAGCAGAGGCTGTTCGGGACGCTTGAGACCATTTTGCGTGGCGCAAAGGACGGATGACCAACTGCAACCCAAGACACCCACTCCCGACCATACTGAGGCTTTCGCAGGCATAAATGACGCTCAACTTTCCGTAGCACAAAAGATTGTTTTCATTTGTCAAAAATG